TACTTCAAGGAAGGGGACAATTGGAAGTGGTGGGGCTAAGGACAAAAAGAATAGCCCCAGTGTCTTTGAGGGCATGTGTCTGATCTTCGTTTATGGAAATGTCCATCTCTCCTAGGGCATTGGTAGAAACAGGAGAACCTCCCTTTTGTCCTCAGCAATCCTGTTCATCATGTGGGATCCTGTTTTTTCATTGGTCCTGCTGTGAACTTTTCTACAATCTTTTTGAAATGGCCAGGCTTTTTACAATGGAAGTAAACAGCCCTTTCATCATTAGAAGGAGGCCCTGTCTTTTCTTAAAAGGCCTTGTTTGGTTAGTTGTTCTTATAGTTGCAGATTCATAATCTTTGAGACCGTAGTTTTTTTCTTTCTGAATCGTTTTAGGAAGTTGATCTGTATAGCTTAATAATTCGTGGGTTTGTATATTCACCCAGTTAAGCTGGCATATCTTTTGACTTTGTTAACCAAACCCTGACTTAAGCCATTGAGGAAAGTAGAATTTATAAGGAGTCATTCTAATGATCTTAAAGGCTAACATTATGCATTCCAGAATATTTTTTAAATGTTTTTCCAGACTCTTGAAAACATTTAAGCACAGATTTGTCTGGACTTTTAGTGCATTGTTGAATTCTCCTCCAATCTTTTTTTTCAGGAAAGAACCTGGGGTAAGCCCTCAGGAAGAGCCTTGGCTGAAGTCCTTGTTCAAGAAAGGGGGGCTTTGGAATTGACTGGGAAGGTGGAGCACCAAAGCCGTACCCATCAGCTCTCACACTTTGGTTTGTTGGGTGAATCTCACTGTCCTCTGGGAATTATGTGCTTGTTTCCTCCCACCCAAGGCCATCACCTACTTGGAGCATTTTTTTGTTGTTTTGTTTTGTTTGAGATGGAGTCTTGCTTTGTCACCCAGGCTGGATGCAGTGGTGTGATCTCCGCTCACTGCAGCCTCAGCCTCCTGAGTAGCTGGGATTACAGGTGTCCACCACCACACCTGGCTAATTTTTGTATTTTTAGTAGAGACAGGGTTTCACCATGTTGGCCAGTCTGGTCTCAAACTTCTGACCTCAAGTGGTCTGTCCACCTCAGCCTCCCAAAGTGCTGGAATTGCAGTGGGGAGCCACCATACCCAGCTTTGGGGCCTCTCTTCCATGCTCTCCAGCAAGCACTGAATAATCCACGCGCTTCATTTTAGGGAATCTTTGTTTGGGTGAAGTAAACCTCTCTGTCCTTAAATTTTGGATTCACTCACCCATTGTCATCACCTTTGCTGTCTCTGATGCAGATTTTTAAAGAAAACATTCAGGTTTATTTTAATACCGCAATGTGGCAGGACAGCAGATAGCAGGCAGCAGGCAGTTGGTGAGAACTCAGCTTCTACAGGCAGGAATGGAGTGGGAGAGGCCCTCACTGGTCCAGTATTTGGGAGGATTCTGTGCTTGGTCCCCATAAGCTGCAAAATGTGTTCAGTATTATTGGACTAGGTTTGCGGACAGGGAGTTCCCAGGGTTTTTGAGGTTAAGATTTCCTCTTGCACAGCTGTGGGTTGATAAAGCAGATGTCAGAGCCCCAAAAGTAGCTAATTTGGAGAATGTCCATTTGGAAACAGTGGAGAGGTGGGTGCAGCCAGAAGCAGAAGTTACTTTCTGCAAGGTTAACAAACGAAGGCTTGTACAGCAGAAAATACACCCTGCTGATGATATTTAAAGAAACATCTGCCTCCTGCAGGATTGCAGGGGGCATCACAAGTCTTACATTACTGGTTTGTTTTTATGATTTCATAGACAAAAATTATTTTTAAAAATCTGACAATACCAAATGTTAACCAGGATGTAGAGAAACAAGAACTTTCATATATTGCTGGTGGTAGTGTAAAGCGGTACAGCCTTTTTGAAGAACTTCTTGCAAGTTTCTCGTGAAGGTAAACACATGACCCAGTAATTCCCGTCTTAAGTATTTCTCAAGATAAATGAAAACATATATCCATAAAATGATGTTTCTGATTTGCCTTATTCATAATGGTCAAAAGTCTAAACACAAAGTCCATGAACAAGAGAATGGATAAACAAATTATAGCATATTCATACAATATAATAGAATTCACCAATAAAAGAATTGAACTACTGATACATGTAACAACATGGATGAATTTCAGAAACATGAGGTAAAGAGCCATATACAAAAGAATACATACCATATGATTCTACTTAAGTTGTATCCACCTAATGGTTTCACCTTGCCTGAGCTGCCTAGACAGGGCCAATTTATTGAGACAAGGAAATTGCAATAGAGAAAGAGTAGTTTACACAGAGCTGGCTGTGCAAGACACTGGAGTTTTTTTTATTATTCAAAATAGTCTTCTCAAGCATTTGGGCATTTGGGATCGAAGTTTTTAAGGACAAACGTTACCGTTTTAAAGTACTATAGACTCTGGTCCTAAGAAAAGCTAGTTGAAGCAAAATGAAACATGTCCATGGAGGTACAAACTGTAGCACAGGGAAGTCTAGTTCCTGAAAGGCACAAAGTCACTAAGAACTGAGCAGAGGGATATACATGTGACCATGTGACAGGTATTTTTAATTTCTGAAAAAATAGAGACAGGGATGGCTATGTTTCCCAGACTGGTCGTTAACTCCTGGCCTCAAGAGATCTTCTAGCTTTGGCTTCCCTACGTACTGGGATTATAAGTATGAGCCACCATACAGGCCCCAGTGACAGATTCGGGAAAGAAGAGGGCCCTAGATTGTCTACCACACCAGCTGGTCTACTAAGAGAAAAGAAGATAAAAAATGTGAACTGGATGGAGAGTTGGAAATGTTATCAGATGAAGTGGTTTATTTGCCTTTGATAGGAAGAAAAGGAAAGGTTTCTCACAACTCAACTCCAAACCCTTGAATAGAAGTGGCTTCCTGGACTGAGTAGTTTAAAGCTTCCCAAAGGGAGAGTAGCCCCTGTGTGCATGTGTCCTCTGCTCCCTATGCCCTCCCATCACGGTAGAAAGTAACTGCTGCTAATGTGGCTGAGCCTAAGATAATTGTTCATATTCCTGAGATAGAATGAAATAAAAATAAAATCTTGCACTAAAATTGGGATTTCAGTTAGAGATTGGGTGAGACAGGGAACTTGTATATTACAGGACATTCAGGAAGAGAAGGCTGTAGATGCCAATATGTATATAATCGTTAAATACGTTGATAGAAAAAGTAAAAGTTGAACTATGTTTCTTAAAATGTAGAAATTATTAGAAGACTAGAGTTAGGTCCTCAACTTTCAAACTACTTGAGAAAAAAAAAAACTAGCAATAGGAAAGGGGAAATAGCAAGTCTATGAAAGATTGGAATAAAACAGTTAACAAACTTGATTTCACGTTTATATGAACTTTCATAGCAACACACAGAAACTACATACTTACACACCCTTGGATCTTTTTTTCCAATCTACTGTATATTAAATCACTTTTCAAACAAAACCTCAAATTCTCAAAAGTAGAAATTATTCAGGCCGCATTCTGAACACAGTATTTTTTCTCGACAGTATCTGTAAAAGGAAAACCTCCGCCAAAAATCATTCCAGTTGCTAATTATGAAATCTTTCTGGCTGGGCGCAGTGGCTCACGCATGTAATCCAAGCACTTTGGGAGGCTGAGGCAGTTGGATCACCTGAGGTCAGAAGTTCGAGACCAGCCTGGTCAACATGGGGAAACCCGTCTCTACTAAAAGTACAAAAAATTATCCCAGCAGGATGACATGTGCCTGTAGTCCCAGCTACTCCAGAGGCCGAGGCAGGAGAATTGCTTGAACCTGGGAGGTGGAGGTTGCAGTGAGCCGAGATCACGCCATTGCACTACAGCCTGGGTGACCAGTGAGACTGTCTCAAAAAAAAGAAAGAAATCATTGAGCTACTCTTAATGTCAATTTAAAAATCTAAAGAGGGCTGTGCATGGCAGCTTATCCTGTAGTCCTAGCACGTTAGGAGGCAGAGGCAGACAGATCGCTTGAGCTCAGGAGTTTGAGACCAGCCTGGGCAACATAGCAAAACTCTGTCTCTGCCAAAAAAAATTTAAAAACTAGCAGGGTGCCAGCTGTTTAAAAGGGCATGGTGGGAGGATCGCTTTTAAGCCCAGGAGGTCGAGGCTGTAGTAAGCCATGATCACACCACTACACTCTAGCTTGGGTGACAAAGCAAGACCTTGTCTCAAAAACAAAAATCACATGTTATAAGTCCTAATGAATTGATGAATCTAATTACTACTCAAACTGCCAGTACTGCAAAAAGAGATACAGACAGAAATCCTGTGCCTCCTGATGGAAGAGCCTAACAGCCTATGAAATAGTTTTGTCTTTTTTCTGCACCCTCCCAGGAAAATAGAACCTGAACCTGGCCTAGGCTTCAGAACTGCCTAACAAATTCAGAACAGAGGAATACATTAAGTGACACTGGTCCAGGTGAGTTGGCTCAGGCCTGTAATCCTAGTGCTTTGAGAGGCCAAGGTGGTAGGATTACTTGAGGCCAGGAGTTTGAAATCAGCCTGGCCAACATAGCAAGACCCCCATCTCTATAAAAAATAAAATAGATAATACTCTAGAATTGGAATCAGCAAAATACAGAAAGTGGGAAAGTACAGTATGATAAATGAGTTTTTCAATAAATACATTGCGTCAGGCGCGGTGGCTCATGCTTGTAATCCCAGCACTTTGGGAGGCTGAAGCGGGCGGGTCATGAGGTCAGAGGTTCAAGACCAGCCTGACCAACATGGTGAAACCCCATCTCTACTTAAAAATACAAAAATTAGCTGGATGTGTTGCACCTGTAATCCCAGCTACTTAGGAGGCTGAGGCAGGGGAATTGTTTGAACCTGGCAGGCGGAGGTTGTGGTGAGCCGAGAGCATGCCACTGTACTCCAGCCTGGGCAACAGAGCAAGACTCCGTCTCAAAAAATACATACATACATACTTACATACATACATTGCAGGAGGAAAAATAGATGGATTTGTTCCCAATTTAGAAAAAGAATTGGAAATTTGAGCACGTGGACATTTGAAGATTTTGGATGATTACTTTTAGATGTGATAATAGTATTGTAGTCTTTCTTTGGCATTCTTTTGGCATTTTTATCTTTTAGTGTGTCATCTATATGTTTGCTAAAATAGTTATGGATAAAATGAAATGATGTCTTGGATCTGCTTCAGCGTAGCACAGGAAAGGGCCATGGCCGAGGGTGTGGATGAAGCAGGATTTGCTGTGACTTGACAGTTGTTGAAACTGGTCTTAGGTACATATGGGTCCATGTTATTCTATCTACTATTGTATATGTTGGATATTTTTCACAATAATAAAAAAAAGATTAAAGTCAATATGTATTACAACCTAAGTGAGAACGATGGCATGCTGAACACATTTTTTAGCCTTGCCTTCCCCTCGAGGCCTCACTGAAATGACAGTAAAGAAATATGCAAGAGACTAAACCCACAATGGAGGGAGAACTAGGGTGGGTTCCTCAGTGGACCAGCGTTAATAGCATCTGGAAGATGAAGTACCAGGAACACTGAGGATAAAAAAGAGCACAAGAAGGCTGGGCACAGTGACTCACACCTGTAATCCTAACCCTTTGGGAGGCCGAGGTGGGCAGATCGCCTAAGACCAGGAGTTTGAGGCTCCAGTGAGCTGTAATCCCGTCACTGCAATCCAGCCTAGGCAACAGACTGAGACCTGTCACACACACACACAGAAGCAATCTAGAATGTCCAAAAGCAGAAGCAGATTCAGGCTTTGTAAGACCTAAAGTTATGCAATTTTTAAAACAGCTTTATTGAGATGTGGTTAATGTACATAATCTGCACATATTTAAAGTAATAATTTGATGAGATTTACATTGTAGACAGCACAAGACCATCAGGATGATGAACATGCCCATTATCTCCAAAAGGGTCCTTATCTGGCTGCTTTCACCCAGTGTCATTACTTTGGGATTCATCGATGATGCATGTATCAGTAGCTGGTTCCTCTCTATGCCTGAGTAGCATCCATTGTATGGATGTACCACAGTTTATTTGCTGTTCACCTGTTGGACGTTTGGGATGTTTTCAGTTCTTGCCGCTGGCAAATTGAGCTGCTATGAAAGTTCACATTCATGTGCCAGTGTTTGCATCTCCATGTTCTTTCACTTCTTTCAGGTAAATACCATGGAGTGCAGTGGCTGGGTCATATGGTACGGGTGGGCTTAGCTTTTTAAGGAACTGCCATCGTGTTCTCCAGAGTGCTCACACGTGCTACATTCCCACCAGCAGCAAGTACCAGTGGTTGCACACCCACTCCAACTGTGATTTGGCCGGGCTTCTTAATGTTAGCCATTCTGCTGGGTGTGTGCTACCATCTCGTGATTTTAACTTGCATTTCCTTATCAGGACATCCTTTCACAAACCCACAGATCCTGCTTACCGTTTGTATCTCTTCCTTAGTGAAGTACCAGCTCAAATCTTTTGCCTAGTTCTTAACAGGGTTGTCTTATTTAGTTCCAAGTTCTTTGTTTATTCTGGATACAAGTCCTTTTGTCAGAAATTTGTTTGCAAATATTCACTCCCAGTCTATGGTTTGCCTTTTCATAATGATATCTTTGGAAGACCATAGTTTTCTATTTTTACAAAGTCCAGTTTATTGATTTTGTTAATAGTTCATGCTGACCAGGCGCAGTGGCTCACTCCTGTAGTCCCAGCACTTTGGAAGGCCAAAGCAGGTGGATCACGAGATCAGGAGTTCGAGACCAGCCTGGCCAACATGGTGAAACCCCTTCTCTACTAAAAATACAAAAATTAGCAGAGTATGGTGGTGGGCACCTATAATCCCAGCTACTCAGGAGGCTGAGACAGGAGAATTGCTTGAACTAGGGAGGCAGAGGTTGCAGTCAGCTGAGATCGTGCCACTGCACTCTTGCCTGGGAGACAGAGCAAAAAAAAAAAAAAAAAATAGTTCATGCTTCTTGTGTCCTAGTGTATTCGTTTTCTGTCGCTGCTGTAACAAATTACCACAGACTTGATGGCTTAAAACAACAAATGTATTCTCTCTCAGTTCTTGAGGCCCAAAGTTCAACGTCAGTTTCACTGGGCAGAAAAGGTGCCCACAGCACTGCACTCCCTCCAGGGGCTCCAGGGAAAATGTTTTTGAGACAGGGCTTTGCTCTGTCACCCAGTCTGGAGCACAGTGGTGCAATCACAGCTGGCTCACTGTAGCCTCGATCTCCCAGGCTCAAGCAATCCTCCCACCTCAGCCTCCCAAGTAGCTGGGAATACAAGTGCGTGTCACCCCACCCAGCTAAATTTTGTATTTTTTATAGAGATGGGATTTCCCCATGTTGCCCAGGCTAGTCTTGAGCTCCTGGGCACAAATGATCTGCTAATCTGGGCCTCCCAAAGTTCTGGTACTACAGGCGTGAGCCAAACCTGGCACCAGCATGGCAGGGGCAGTGTTTGTGCTTCATGCTCCCAAATCGATGGCCGTGGTTATCTGCAGGACTGGCTGATTCTGCTGTCCTGGCCATGTGGTTGCTCTTTGCTCCTGACCAGTTCTCAAGTCTGGACTCTCCCAGCCACCTATGAGCCCTCCAACGCTGTCAGCAAAGGTCTTTTCCAATTTAATCAGCCAGGGCTGGTCTCTATTACGTGCAACTCAGAAACTTTCCTGATAGAGGGTGTTTGCCAAAAGCCCATTGTGAGCACCATGCTTGGCTGTGAAATATGAGTGGCATTTCCATGTCTGGGCAACAAGCGAGTGTGCTGTCATCAGCACTGCCTGCTTCTCAGCTTTGTTCTGGGGGGCTTGGGCCATGCCCTAAGACAGGATGGAGAAATGAAGCTTTAAAAATACCAAAAACATAACACTGTCTCCATTGCCCACTATCATCCTCTCCACATGTAAGCTCCATGAGGGTACGGATCCTTGTCTTTTAGGGTTATTGATGTACATTGAGCACCTAGAACCATGCCTGGTATATAGTAAGTATTCTGTTAACATTTGCTGAATATAAATTCACAAAGAATAATAAAATTATTCACCTAAAAAATCAACTGGAAAACTATTTGAACAAATAAGAATGCAATAAAGTGTGTATTAAGAGGTAAGCGTATATAAATCCATGACTTTCTTATATACTGGCAATGACCAGTTTAGAGATGAACAACACCTGATTTGTAAGAGCAACAACAACAAAATCTAGGAAGAAATTTAAGAAGAAATGTTCAAGCAAAGGCTGATGCCTGTCATCCAGTTACTCAGGAGGCTGAAGAGGGAGGAGCTCTTGAGCCCAGGAGTTTGAGACCAGCCTGGACAACATAAAGAGACCTCAGTTTTTTTTTTATTTCAAAAAAAGATTTGGGAGGCTGAGGTGGGAAGATCCCTTGAGCCCAGGAGTTTGAGACCAACCTAGGCAACATGGCAAAAACCCATGTATACAAAAAATTAGGTGCACCTGGTGGCAGGTGCCTGTGGTCCCAGCTACCTGGAAGCTGACGTCAGAGGATCACCTGAGCCGGGGAGGTCGAGGCTGCAGTGAGCCAAGATCGTACCACTGCACTCCAGCCTGGGCAACGGAGTAAAAGAGAGAGACCCCTGTCTCAAAAACAGAAAGAAATGTTCAAGACTCAAGATACATACAAAGAAAATCATAAAACTTTATGTTAAAATATAACAGACACTATTCAGGGCCCCCAAGCCCTACCCAGGACAGCGCCCAAGCCAGCCACGTCTTCTTTAAAAAAAAGAAAAAGAGGACATTATTAAGAATGTAAGACATAGCATGTTCTTAAAGGACAAAACTGATCTTAACGGTGATCATAGGGACAGCCCAGCTTCTCCCTAGCCTTATCTGGGCCCCACAATGTCCTGAGCACTTGACATTGAACGACCCCCTTTAACACTGTCCAGGACTCATGCAGGCAGGAATTATACTGTTTTGTTTTTTTTTACAGAGTGGAATATCCGTTTTATTGAAATAAAATGGATTTCCATACATTCACTCCGTGACTCAATTGAGAAGATATCTACCACCCACACAATAGGCAAAAGATTAGTGATGGAATATGCAAATGGATGTAAAAATCATGGTAAAGGTACAAACAACACAATCTCTTTTGTTCATTTTTGAGACAGCGTCTCACTTCGTTGCCAGGCTGGAATGCAGTGGTATGATCTCAGCTCACTGTAGCCTTGGTCTCCTGGCCTCAGGCAGCCCTCCCACCTCAGCTACCTGAGTGTTGGGGCTACAGGTGCACACCATCATGCCCAACTAATTTTTTTTTTGTATAGACAGGATCTCACCATGTTGCCCAGGCTGCTCTCAAACTCCTGAGCTCAAGTGATCCACCCGCCTCGGCCTGCCGAAGTGCTGGAATTACAGGCGTGGGCCACTGTACCTGGCCCAAACAATACAATCTCATAAGTGGAAAAACAGCTGGCATCTCATGAAAACAGAGACATGGCCAATGAGCTGAAAAGATGCTCAGCCTTAGCAGTCCCAGGGATGTCATGCTAAAGCAGTGAAGCCCTTCCTCCTCTCCAGCTGCGCTCACTGCTGGGAACTGGTGGCTCAGGGGTCTCTGTCCTGCCTGCTCACCCTTCACATCCCCTTGCTGCCTGTTGATCCTTATGCCTTGGTCCAGCTCCATCTGCTCATTCCCTAAAGTGTCCCTTTCCTTGTGTGGCTTCCAACTGGCCAAGCCCAGCTGGGCACCCGGCCTGCACACAAGCTGCTGGGAGTGGAAAGAGAGGAGATACAGACATTCAGACTGGTTTCATTTTAAATTCATTGCCACCAGCTTAAGCAGACGCTTGTTGACTACTACATTTACCCAGCCTGGTACCACTGAAACACATCCTTGTGTCCTGCCACACAGAGAGCGCGGAGCTGGGATCACACTGCCTGCCCCTTCTAAGTGAAAGGTTGCTGGCCAGGCGAAGTGGCTCGTGCCTTAATCCCAGCACTTTGGGAGGCCAAGGCAGGCGAATCACAAGGTCAGGAGATCGAGACTATCCTGGCTAACATGGTGAAACTCCATCTCTGCTAAAAATACAAAAAATTACCCGGGCGTGGTGGCACATACTTGTAATCCCAGCTACTCAGGAGGCTGAGGCAGGAGAATCGCTTGAACCCAGGAGGCGGAGGTTGCAGTGAGCTGAGGTTGAGCTACTGCACTCCAGTCTGGGCGACAGAGCGAGACTACGTCTCAAAAAAAAAGAAAAAAAAAAAAAAAAGAAAGGTCACTGAGCACGGGAAGCTGTGCCTTTGCAGGCAGGTCAAGGGCCTGGCTTTTGGGACCCAGATGGGCCTCGTGTGAAGGGGAGTGACGATGGGCTTGTCTAGAATCTGCCTGAAGCGGGGACCTGGAAGAGTGAAACTGAAGGAGGCTGAAGTATTCCCCCAAAGGCAGGGAGACTCCAGACCCTGAAAAAGTGGCCCAAGAGGGCGGGTCAGCTTTGGTCACCTGGGAGGCCAAGCAGCGTGTAGGGAGCAAAGACCTCTGGTCCTCACCACTGGCTCTTGGGCTGTCCCCAGAGGATGAGGAGCTGCAGCTGGAGTGGAAGTGGGCAGAGCCCAGGCTGGAGCAGGAGGCATTTCACCTCAGAGTAAAGCTGGGAGTTTTGGTAGTTACACTGGCTGGGACACAGTGATTACTTCGCTGAGACCAAATCGAAATGGGCTTGAAAATGGGGCAAGATTTTACCCTGGCAGGGAGGAGAGGACACTGGGGGAAGGAACAATACAAGTGTTTTCTCTTATATTAATAATTCTCAAAGCTGCAAAAGTGGGTGGGGGGTTATTCAAACAAATGTAACTCTTCTGTTACCTTCACACATCAGTGACACCAAATGCACAGACGGAACCATCAGGGGCTGGCGCCAGAGAGATTATTCCTCCACCTCTGCAGCACCTGCCTGTGTGCTTGCAAAGGGTTCTGTCTCCCTCCCTCTTCCAGGAAAACACTTTTCTGTGATTTCACAATGATATTTGTACTATGCCGGGGCTATTTTTAGGAGCTGGTGTGATGAAATACTCAGCACTGTACACAGTGGGCACACACGTACGTCCCGCCTGTGTACTTGTTCAGCATGCCTGGCTGGTGAGAGAACAGGGGCCTTTGGAAAGCAGAGGGTGATCTTTGATAAGACGCTGGACCGCTGGCCCGAAAGCGCTCAAAACAGGAAGTGGCCACTAGACTCAAGTCACATTCCTGCCAGAGGCTGGACGCAAGCCCTCAGGCCGGGGATCCCGGGAATGCTGGACTGGTGGTGTTTATTTGTCCTTGGGTACGTGAAGCAATAGCTCCGTTGCTCCTCCGTGAGGAGATTGCAGAATGTTCTGGCTAGAATAACCAGTCAAGATGGTGTCAGAAGACGAAAGTACAGCAGATCTAGTTTAGAGGCCTTCATTGGCTTGTGTTTGTTCTTCTAGAATGAGCAACACCTCATTCTATAACATAGAGAAAAGGGCCAAGGAAGCAGAAACCAGAACACAGAGCTGATTGGTCTCTTCAACGTTAAAGGTTTAAGCAGAAGGCTTCCTTACTGTGCTAACTAAAACCGGCCTGGCTGGGAATTTGGCTGCTATCTCTTCCTCTCTCCTGATTTCTGAGAAGCTCAGATAAACAGTTTCCACTTGGTGGTGTGGAAACTCAGCACAAACAACCCTGTTTTGGTTTCGTCTGTTGGCCTAGGGCAGGAGCTCTGTCCCAAGCCAGTGGTCTGCTGGCATTTCACTTCCCAGTGACACGGCACCAACATGCCTAACAAACACTCGTCTGTCCTGTCAACCCTGTGTGTCTCGTTTTTTTTATTTTTATTTTTTAGAGACAGGGTCTTGCTCTGTCTCCCAGGCTGGAGTGCAGTGGTACAATCATAGCTCACTTCAGCGCTGACCTCCTGGGCTCAAGGGATCCCCCCTTCTCAGCTTCCCGAGGAGCTGAGAGTGCAGGCATGTATTACCACGCCTGGCTAATTTTTAACTTTTTGTAGAAACAAGTTTTCACTGTAGTGCCCAAGCTGGTATCAAACTCCTGGCCTCAAGTGATCCTCCCACCTTGGCCTCCAGAGTGTTGGGATTACAGGCATGAGCTGCTGCACCTGGCTCTGTCTCTTTCAAACACAAGTCCACAGTTTTGCTGACTCCTGGTGGCGATGGGGAAGGCCAGCAGGGGGTAGAGAGGAGGACACAGGCTTTTGTCACTGTGAGACGAGGCAGTGGGAGAGTCTGCAGATACCAGGGGACCAGAAAGCAGGGGACAGCTAGGGCTGGGGTCTGGGCTCCACTACTAAGGACTTGTGTCACTTGGAGAAGCGACTCACCTCTCTGGAGGTCCCCATCTTTAAAATGAGGGCACCATGGTGATTCCGTGAGTTCACGAGGGCACTGCATTTAGTGCCTGGCAAATTACAGTGCTTGGCAGGCGATGCCTGTGTCCGACACTCCTCCCCTGTGTTGTGACCTCCTAATAGGCAGTGAGGGGAGGTGTGGTGTCCTTATCTAATGCAGGAGGGGAGGGGACTGAGGCTCAGAGAGCCCATGGCCGCAGGAGCTGGGACTTGAAAACAGGCCCTCATCGCTCTTAGCACTGGCCTCATCTCGCTTCCCATCACCAAAAAAAAAAAAAAAATCAGTGATCAGCGGGAGGGGCCCATTGGGGCTGGGAGGGTGGGAAGAGTGGTCCCTCCAAGGGGACCCAGAAAATGCCAGTGTGGCAGTCCTGGGGCCCCTGGCTGGGCAAGTGGAGGCAGAGGCTGTAGCCAGAGGGCAGACCACTGGCCGGAGCCTGAGCCGGCAGGACTAAACCTCAGCCCCCTCAAGAGCCCCAGCAAAAGTCCAGCCCGGCACAACTGCTTTGTCCCTTGGTGGAAGCCCCCAGGCTGCACCTGGAATGGCAGAGCTCTCTCTCGAAGCACTGAGACACTGTCTCCAAGAGTGCTGCCCTTCTTAGCCAGGCCCTGTCCCTGGGTCAAAGGAGAATGGTGGGGCTCTCTGGGGTTATGATGGAGGGGACCCAGGTCAGGCTTTGCAGGGGAGGCCCGATGACCAGTTACCAGGTCTAAGCTCTGTTTTTTTTGTCTTGCCCAGATTCCTGTCTAAGGAGTC